TACGGAATGTTCTTCCTCAGACAGACATTCAAAATTTACTTGACTCCATACCACGTCGGCTTATTGCGGTGCGTGGTGGCTACACAAAACACTGATTTCGATCTCTTGTTATTGATTGTTTGCATTGAAAGTTTAATCATTTTTTGTACCACTACCACTCAACCGTGTAGTAAATTTCATTCAATTATGACGATTCCTTCATGGTGTTGCAGTTTTCACAAACAGGAGTTTACATCAAAAAACGATTACTTTGTGTTAGTTAATTAAAAAAAAGTGTTGTGAGATTTGTTGGTGGAATAAAAGCGATTTATGGATTTTGATGTTAAATTCTTAAGAAAATAAGATGAACATAGTTCCTCTAATCATAATTTTTAGTTTTTAGTTTTTCTAGGAAAAAAAAAAAGACATTTCACAAACTTTATAACGCATTCACAGTTGACAAGTCAAATTTTTTGATTAAAAAAAATAATAAATAAATTTCAAATTATTTCAAATAGAATTGCACGATGGTTTTCAAATGGATTGATTTGCGTTCAGAATGTCTTTCTTGATACAGTGAAAGACTTTATTACAAATTAACTATTTTAAATAAAATATGTCAATACTTATTCTGCAAAAATTTTTATATTAAAATTAAGTTAATTTTGTGGCTTTAGATGCATCTTTCTGAGCCGTAATAAAAAACTACTTATTATGTTTGTTCTCACTAGCTCCATACAGTAAGGCTAGTATGGAAAACTACTTTTCTTAAAAAAAATTATCATGGAAAAAGTAAACTTTATAGTTTCAGATGTAAGCCAAAATACTGGTAATTATCCAAATTGAAAAAAAAAATAAACTTTAATATGAGTTGAACATTATAGATGGTATAAATTTCGAGGGAAAGTTTAATCTTTTGACGGTCTTCTACTTAGTCGGTAATTTTTAACTGGGTGTAGTATGATGGACAGATTTTGCAGAAATGTATTTCGCTAAATTAAGCAATCATGTGTAGTTATTTGGAGAAAATACAAAATATACAGGGTGTACCAGAACAGGTATCCCTAACTTTTTACATTGATTTTAAACTCACGAGCTGTTTTTTACATAACAAAAATTTCATAAGTCGCTTTTTAGTATAAACTTCATCGTGACTCCACATGCAGTATAAATTTATACAGTCGGAATGGATGCTGTTTGTATGGATGGGTGATCGTGTAAAGCTAAGGGTGGTGGCGCTAGTGGTAAAATTGCTCTTTCAAGACTTCCGGGTTACTGCTTCCGATATATTTTTACGCCGCAGATTGAAAAAACGCGCCATCATATTATTGCATCATATCTTTTGCAGTATTTCACATGTACCGAGTTCTTTCTTTCAGCCTTTAAACTTCAGCATTATCATATTAATATTATAATCATTAGAATATTTTCTAATTAGGCTAACTTAAAAAGATATTTTTGGCGACATTTTATTCAAATGTAGCCAAATAAGGGATAAAATACAAAACATGGCAAACCTTAA